TTTTTTTACTGTGTAGTTGTTTGAGTTCCTTGTATTTTCTGGATATTAATCCCTTGTCAGCTGTACAGTTTGGAAACATTGTCTCCGGTTCTGTAGATTGTCTTTTTACTATGTTGATTATTTCCTTTGCTGTGCGAAAGCTTTTTTTAGTTTGATATAATCCCATTTATTTATTAATTTATTTTGTTGCTTGTGCTTTTAGGGTCTTATTCATAAAGTCTTTGCCCAGTCTTACTTTCTGAAGTGTTTCCCCTATGTTTTCCTTTCATAGCTTTGTTGTTTCAGATCTTTTACTCAAGTCTTTCATTCATTTTGAGTTGATTTTGGTATATGGCGAGAGGTGCAGGTCTAGTTTCATTCTTCTGCATATGGATGTCCAATTTTCCTAGAACCATTTATGGAAGAGGCAGTCTTTTCCCAAACGTATGTTCTTATTGCCTTTGTCGAAGGTCAGTTGGTTGTAAGTATATGGGTTCATTTCTGGGTTCTCTATTCTGTTGCATTGGTCTGAGTGTCAGGAGTTTACTCTTTTGAACAATACTTTTCTTTGTTCTTTCTGGTTGGCCTCCTTCTAATATGACTTAATTCTACCCAGTTTGCTACTATTGTCACACTATTGCACTTTAAAATAGTTACTCACCTGAACGTTCATAACAGTTTCTATCTGGTTTCTTTGTAGTATTTGAGTTTCTCATTTAATCTGTCCTAACCGTGAAGCCAGGGAAGACCTTTTAAAACCCAGATGTGCGTATGTACTCTCCATTTTTCCAACCCTTCAATTGCTCTAAAGAATAAAATCTTAATGTACTCTACAGTGCCCCACCTATTTCATTCAACATTCACGTCTCCTACTCCTTGCCCCAATATATGTGACTTCCAAATCTTTGAATGTTCCATGCTTTCTCCTTCATTTCTTCTGGAATATTCCACATGCTTATGCCCTAACTCTTCACCCATTTTACTCCTACTTACCATGAACTGCTCCAACATCAATTCTTCAGGAAAGGTTTTACTTCCCTTCAGTTCTTTACCTTCACCAGATTGTAACTTATATAAGAACAAAAAAATTGTCTAGTTTTGCTAAGTATTTGGTTACT